TGAATGAATTGTTATTTCTTTCTCCAATTCTTCAATGATATTATTTTGTTTTTGTTTTTGAAAATAGACTAGTTTTCTGGTGGTAAATATGCCACATAGATATAAATATAATTTTCCAAATTGAAGAACTTGTTATCTAACTTAACCCTTATAACATCATTAATGATGGTATGCAGCTTTGAAATTCCACTTTTAAACCTATGTTTGAAAAACAGTGCAACACCAGCAGAATTTCGCCTTGCTGCTTTACTTCTATTTTTATCACTACGAATATAACTAAACTCTGCTAAAGAAAAGTCATTTACTGAATCTAACCATGTTTCTTCTAATGCTACAAAATCATAGGGATTAATAGTGTTCATAAAATCACTATGGTGAAACTTTTGTTTAATACCTTGAATGTTCCATGTCATACCGGTAAATGACAAGACATTGTTCGGATTTTTTCTCATATTATTTCTTGCTATGCATTTCTTGCTATGATTTAGCTCTACCTGTAACGTTACATTTGCTGCCTTTTCTCTAAAATAACTCTAAATATAACTCCTTAAAAAGTCAATTAATTTATGCGCTAACTGATCATCATAGTTTTTTACAGTGCCATAATTAGGTTTTTTGTATGTGGGCTGCTGTTCAATTCTCTGGTCGTCTGTATTGTTGGTCATTGTGTTGATTCCCTCTGTTGTCATCTCTGTAAGAACGTTGACTGCGTGTGTGTCGGTAGATGGGTCTGTTCCGTGCATCATTCTCTCTCATCAATCCGGGTTTTCCATTATTCATTGATCTCTTTATATCTTCTACTAGCAATTTGACTCCATCAGCATTAATATGTATCCCATCTTCAGCAAACAACTGTTTGCTGACTGATAGTTTATGATGGGCAATGAATACGCAGCCTTCTTTGTGACAGAATTCTTTTACTTCCTCATTTATGTGTTTTATATCTTTGTTTATATCAACACATCCTTGTCTTGGAAGAATTGCTGATATTCCAAATTTTGCTTGGGGAAATTTGTTTTTCCAAACATCTATTAATTTTTTGTGAGATGATAAGATCACGATTGTGGTTGGCTAGATCATTAGTACCAACATGATATACAATAGATGCCACTTGTGTGTCAGCTGACACTTTCTGCAACTGATCACGTGCTTCACGCACTGTGTAAGCCATATACTGGTCACACCTTTTATGATTGAGTCTCCTATCAAAATATGATTGACAGTTGACTTCTTTGACTTGATTGCTCTGTTGCTGGATTTGAGTTTAGACTTGATCTTGAATAGGTAGCTGCTCTACAGCATTTGGTTCTTCCTTGACTTTGTCATCCACAGCCTCAAGACTTTCTGAATCATTTAGTAGGCTAACACCTCAAATTTGTTTTTCAGTTCTGGAGGCTTACATTTATTTATTTCATCACATGTTGTCTCTGCAACCTTTGCATCGAGTTGTTGTTTATTCAATGCAGGGGAATCCATTATCTTGTTGAAATTCAATGACAGTTGTTCAATGACAGTATATGTATGTCTCCTTAAGTTATTGGTAATTAATCTCCTCTATACACCAGTCTGATTTAATCAAAATCTATTGTCCTGACAACAAAACAGCAATATTGTCCAGCAATACAGCAATTCAATTATGCCATTTTTTTAATGAAGGACTTCATCCTTCAGTTATTTTCCTATTTCAATTTCTGTAAAAAACATTTAATTCTACCACAATTTGGATATACAATTACCACATACAAGGTGACATTGTTACAAAGCATAGTTGTTATTTTACAATATTACTTTTTTTGATGAACGAAAGCATACATGCTATGTTTTCATTCTTATTAAAACAAAATAACATCACAAGGAACAAATAAAGAATTTATTGACAGAATTGTAGGACTATTGTCAATCAATAACTACTTTAAATATTAAATAGTGTCTTTAATTAATCTCCCTATAAAATACATAATAAGAACAAAGAATCTTTTGATAAGTTTATTTTACTTCTTGTATCTGGTATCCAAGGACTGTACTGTAGTGGTGCAAACATGACAACAAAGGTTTTCAGGAATTAGAAAGGTCACACAGCAATGTCCTCGCATGCCAGTCTGAAACAATGCCACAAAACATTAACTTTAAAAACATTTCCAAACAGTCACCCCTGGGTAAAAGCAAGATTGATATATTACAGCATTTGATAGCTGCATCAACTGTATCAATGGTATCTAAAGAAGCAAGGAAGTGTAATCAGCTGGAAACAGTTGGTTTCCAGGTCTCAATTCAATGCAACATTGTTACATCGTCTACATTTTAATGTCTTGCATGCAAGTACTCCTAGTACTTTATTTTGTACTTTTGTATGTGTTATAATTAATGTTTCCTCGCAAAATATAGAAAATGTGCATTATATTATGTTCCTAAAGATGGGAGAAATAATAAATACATGAATGAAAAATTATCAAGTGATTTAGTTAATTTTCTAGATTAGCTGGAATACTCCATTAATAGCCAGTAAATCCTAACATAATATATAGCAGTTATAGTTGCTGTAAGGCTATATACAACACACAATTGTTATCAGTGTGTGACTCTGCATTCATTATGGTAATGATCAATGTATTATGAATGGAGGGAAAATACCAATACAACAGTAATTTCATAATTAAACTACAAAAAATGACTGATTCAATTCCTCGTTTTCCCTAAATATATTTACTTTTACTTTATAATATTGATATTTCCAATGGAAGTTCTTCAAGGAATTTAGATTTTCATTTAAGCATCCTTTTTCAGGGATGCTCGGTAGCCAAGGACACAGTGTAACATATAGCTAGGTGATTGGGTGCCATACATATAAACATTGGTTCAAGCCACACATTCAGTACATGTTCACTATGATTATACATATTACTTTGCCCTGTATTCACAGTGCTATTTACATTCAAGGCTTTCAAGTGTTCTTTCAACCAATACATACATAGTTTCAAAAGCCATCAGCAATGAAATTTCTTGATATAGTGATTAGTGAAAGTAAATTGTTGTCAATATCAGTCACAGCATTGAGACATTCCAGGTATATATACAATATCAGTCACAGCATTGAGACATTCCAGGTATATATACAAACTATTCAATGGCATATACAAAATAGTGACAGTGACTAAACAGAAAAAAATGATTGAGGGAAATTATTTCACATTTCCAATTTTAATAATGTTTTAAGTGAATTTATTCTATTAATGCAAGAGTAAATGTGGTCAAGGTAGACCAGCTTCTGGGTATTTCTCAAACAATTGTCAGTGTTAGCAACATAGAATACATTGTATTTACAGTAACAATGTAATTATTTATAGTTTACTGTACACCAATTGTTGCCCATTGACAAGTACTCGCTATAAATCACAACAGGTAAGCCACATTCAAGAAATGTCAAAGACACTAGCCTTGTTCACATGCCATGGAAAATGCATCAATATCATCAATATAAAAGCTGGAGAAGCTTCAAATTAAATTACAGAGAGAAAATTTTGAAAAAAAAAAAACTCTGCAGAGAATAATAATTGTACATTTCTGGAATAAGCTTACACAGGAACATCATCATGAATAAAATAAACAATTGAGCTCAAAACTAAAAGAAAACTAATTTGCATAGCTTTTCTACCATAGCTTTTCAGTGGCTTCAAAACATACTTGTATCTGATTGGCTACACAACTCATATACCTAACAGTCAAGCCAAGCTTGTTTTTGACAGTTTTTTTTTAACAAACCAAATCTAGTCGCGCATGAAAGCTGAACTTGAATCTAGACTGTATACAATTGATATTTGACTCTGGGATGAAATAACACTTGGTTTAGAACTGTTTTGTACACAACATGTAAACACCTAACAAACACTGTTACCTGGCATTGAGCGACACTTGGTAAAATAATTAATATGATAAATATCACTATGACAACATTATCAAACCAGTATTCTGGATTTACCATGAATCAAGAAGCTGGACAATCGGACAACTGTAACGTTGGAACATATACATGTACAACAGCCTGGTAAAATTTATTTTACAAAAACTAAGAATTTGTGGATGTCATGTGCCCAAAAAAATCATTTTTTTTATTTATGCTTTAATTTCCAGTGATTTTTATGTCAAAAGACAAATCATATTCTCCGACAACATTCCACTTCTCATTATGTAAAAGTACTTGAATAAAGTAATTAGTTAATAATACTATCACTAAGAAATTTTGGTCATTACTTCAGAAGTTTTCACGATTTTATTTAAAGTAAGTGCATGTAATATAATCATGTACTAGTAAAAAAGCAGCTCTATTGCACTGTAGTACATTGTATTGTTCATGGTCAATTCACCTGACAACGTCTAGTGAATAATTACTCAAACTAAGTAACTAAATCCTATGCAGTGGAAAACATCAGAATCTTAATCTTACTCTTGAATGCTGGTTACCATAGTGATAGACAATCTTTCATAGTTTAAATATTTTATTCTGTCACTAGTTGTTGTTTCATAGAAGTACAGACGCTATGGTTGTTTTAAGTAAACTTTAAGAAATGCATGCAAGTCTGCAACCTTTTAAGTAATGGCTGTCAAATTTTAATTCCATTCATATCTTTTTTCACAAGTAGCTGTAAGGTAACAATACAGTCATAAAAATAAGAAGTGAAAACTACAATTGTAGTTTGTTGTCATTCATAAAACATTTGGCGAAACGAAAATGGATAATTTTAATATTTTTTAGAAATGATATACCACTTTGGTGTTGTTTTTACATAATAATTATTAAATTTTTTTCATAGAAAGATGAAGATAATAATTTGATAATCTGGAAAATACAACATTCATAAAGATTGTTTACACACAGTTTAGTGATGACAGCATACTGAGAGAAACTAAGACAAAATGTAAATGTTTAAACTTTAAGAAATTGTCACATTGGCGGGTATGTATATTCACTTTATGTATACTGCACAGAAGCGTTTAATACTTACAGTGGTGGATGGGGTTTATTACGTCTGGTAACTTCTGTGGGTCGAGACTGTGTTGGTTCATCCAAGGTCTTTTTATAAAACGTGTGTGAGTACGTTGTTGGTCGTATACTTGGCTTTCTCGACCAGTCTTTCAATTCTTCATTCCAAGTCCTATAAGCATCGTCTTTTATTTCTTCTAAAATATGAGGATCTAAATTCCTGGCTATACCACTGTGAAACACATTACGGTATCGGTAACCCGTCATTGTTGGATCTGCGGATTTAGAACGAAATCGACTCACAGGGTCTTTATACCCTGGTAAGATATGACCCGTGGCCATGGTAATCTTCTAAGTGACAGTGGAAAGCAACACGAATGTCAAAAACAACGAACTCTGGTTTGAAATATCTTTATGAAAAGTACGCTATGCTGACTATGGCAACACATTACGTATGCAAATGATGGCAAATATTCATGAGTCGCTAACAGGTGGGTGGCAAAGTCTCGCGATAATGTGCGTGATTTCCGGGTTTGGTTCGGTTGTTGTTGTTTATTTTCTCCTCTACAATGGACGTAAATTGACAGATTTATAATGAAAAGCGAATAGACGGACTGTTATATCGCCACCGTTCTGAATGGATTCACCTGGGTTAGTAGCTTCAGTTCTTGAGGAGATGAGCTGATACAATCAAGTACCGTAAGGCAATATGATATTTGTGTGTCTTCGGCTAACGCCGTAACGTTATAAATCACAAATGTTTCATTTATCGACATCGTGATCATGATGATTATGTCTTGCCCCGCCCACTAGTTGTTCTATTAATAAAATGTCGAATTTATTTTTTGCCAAAACTACTTTTCAAATTATTTTATAATTGTGATTATGTGATCGATAGAATAGAGTGATCTTACATGTATGTCATATCTTCTTATAATGTACGGTTTTTAAAATTCAGACAATTACGTAATAACAGTATATAGTGGTGAAAAGGTCGTCATTTTCTATTTCTGACCCCTGTATCAGTGACTAGGACGTATTTCTAACTGTACCATATGTTTATCTTACTGAGATTGCTTTAAGGAGACACAGCAAATTCCAAGCAATGTCATCGCTGTGACGGTCCTAAAATCATCAAATCTTAGAATTTGTTACAATATGCAGTAGTTTACATATCATTTTGTGTTGTCATAGTAATAACAAATCTCACTCCACACAGCAACAATATCAAGAAATACTCAAAATTATATTATTATTATTCAATGATAATGAATGGCAGTTGAATCCAATTAATGAGCATAGTGAAAATCAACAATATTTGAAAATGTTTGCCAATAGAAAACTCTAAATATTTATACAGATGATTCATGAAGGAAATGCCTTTGTTGCGCTGAGAGTATTATGAAAACATATATTTTTGTAATATTGTTGTTTGATAGATACTCTATACTGTAGAGCAAAATGGATTATGATTAATTGTGAAATAAAAATTTAATGAAAAATCAATAAACACTAATACGCATGTGTATCAATTGTTATTATACACATTGAAATAGCTACATTCTATTTTAGCAAATTTAACCATAGACAGTATAGTAGGATAGTAGATATAGTTACCTACTATACTGTCTATGATTTAACTCAGACCAAAATCGTAATTTAGCTAAACAGCCGTCACTCTTATTGTGAGAATTAGTGACATCTTAAATTAGCTAAATTAGATAAAATGACCTGCTTCACATTAAACTAGTATGATGATAAACCCAAACTTAGACAACCTACCTGTATTACACTTACATAATAAAGGCTATTAAAGTTAATAACTTCAACCCTTGTACTGTTATTGTAAGTGTCATTTGAATAAATCGACTTTATACAATTACATGATTTCACTACTAAAATGCGGACATGTATTTACCATCGACTCTTAATTACAATATAGTAAGAATAGTCTGTACAATAACAATTTTACTGTATTCGAAGTGATTTCAAGACGTGTAATGTTTTGATCTGAACAGATGAATGAACCCCTACCATGTTCCAGATGTCTACTCCATGTTGTTATACCGGTAATAGTTGTTTTATCAGCCATTTCTGTTTCCCCCGCAGGTTTTAACAATAATTCACCTTTGAACCATGACTGCCATTCGGCATACGTTACAGCGAGAGGTTTTTCTACCCAATGAAGAACGTCTAATCAGTGTTGTTCATGTCACTAAAGCTGGCAAAAAGAAGAAAAACAGTTTCCTATGTGCAGCAGGTATTAAATAGATTAAATTTTCACACATTTGTCAAGGCATCAACATTACGTAATTGACAGTAATATGGCACATACAATTCAACCGAATCACTCACACTAACACTCATTTGCATGTGGTAAATATTTGTTCATTTTTATTGTATTGTATGATATTATTTTAAAGTTATAATCCCCTAAGGTGGTTTTTGAAATAAGGAATAGGCCATGTGTGTTTATGTGATGGGTCATTGCTCACATTGATAGCTCAACATGTTTCATTTTCTTGTGTGTATTGAATCGTAAATACTAGTAATTACAAATACTTCTGTCGTATTTATTTGTTATGCTTTCTAGTTCTACATTTTACATCTCTTTTATTTAAACATTGCTAATCTATAGACCCTTTCTCTAGAGTCCATGGTTGACCTTTGTTTTGTGTTATGTAATTTTCAAGGTTTTGCTGATTTTCACCTCAGCTAGTAATACTGGACCAAACTTTAAATCTTTAATATAAGAATAAAATATATTCTGACAGTGAAATTGTTGCCACATTATCTAAACTAAGATTCTGTTAGTTCATACATTGAGCCAGATTTGCTAAAATGAAATGTAGCTTTTTCAGGGTGTTTTACAGTATTCATACAGCATCAATAATGAGCTGACAGCGTATGCAAGTTTGGATATTTTATATAGTATAATGTGCATAATTATAATTTTTCATGTGACATCTTAACATTAATTTATACATGTATACAGAACAATAATATTTTAATTCACCTAAAAACTAATGCTGTATAATCTAAGCTTAGCAAAAGCTGACAAAAGCAATAACATGATATATAAGTGGCCTTAACTTTTATTTATTATGTTTATTCAATTGCTTATGACTGATTCACAGCTGTGTATTTTGTGAGATCCACGATTAACTGAGAATATGTAGTCAAACAGAAAACAGATAGTTGTTGAAGTTGAAAATTGCAAACTACCATACTGCATACCATTTGGAATATTTGCTTATAACTTTAAATCTATATTAACCCAGACAGTGATTGTCCCAGTAAAATAGAAGATGTGTTAATTCATATGAGATCAATTTACTGCTTTCCAAATTTGTTACTGAATCATTTCATAAACACTCTAATCAGTCTTCTTAAATCAACAAAGTTGCATCGTAAAGAGTGGTGGTTACCATGCAGCATGTGTTCAAATTTTCCTGAAACAAACAATGCCTTTTATGCATGTTCTATACGTTGCACGGAACCCATAGAAAACAGGATGCATCCCGACAACCATTGCCTTTTCAGAAATTCAGTATCATGGTCCCCTCATCAACAATGTAGTCTACGACATTCTGACCAAGAGGAATGCAGAG